TTGCGGCGCACCTACATGACCCGATGTTGCACGCTTGATGCTGTCCAGACCAATACCTTTTTGCTCCGTTGCTCTGACGTCCGGAATGGTGCGTAGATCAAGCATATCTTCTCTGAGTGAAAGCCCGGGTTGCGATTCAGCTGGCTCGAGCGCGGATTCTGCAGCAGGCAGGGCATCGGATGTGTCGACATGTTCGTAATACTGCGACGTGGCACGGCCTAATATGGCAAACTCATTGTCATCGTACTCCTCGGATAATAGAACGTCGTCCATGACCTCATCGCCCAGCTCTTTCGCGATCTCGGCATACCTGCGGATGGTCCTTTCGCGTCTGGGGCCGTCCAGTGCTCGTATGGCGGCGCGCATTACGGGGATCAAAAGGCTTGGCTCTGGTGTCACACGCTTGTTGCGAATCTCCACTTCAAACCATCTTTGCATATCTTTCAGCAGAGCTTGTGACTGGGGAGAATGTCTACCCTCCAGCATGACGCTCCGAAGGAGATTCTGCAGATAAACGCCATGGGCATAAGCGAGCTCAGGCGATTGTGGGTCGATCTGGTCGGCGAGTCGTTGTATAATGGCCTCGGCACGATCTCTGCGGCCCACGGCCAGGGTTGTGTGCAAATGGCCCAACAGATCTCTGACCGAGCCAGTCAGACCGTGCTCGGTCAAGATGAGACCTTCGTGCAGGACTGTAGATGGCGTGCGATCGTGCAGGGCGATGGAATGCGTGTGATTGGCATCGGTGAAGGCAGAGAAGTCGAAGGGGAGGTAATCGTCGGCGACATTGCGAAAGCCTGAGCCCAGGCCCAGCGGGGGCACTTGACTGCTGCTTCGGGGCGTGTACTGGTCTGCTGCCGTGGCCAGTGTTCGTAGGTGCGTTCTGCCACTGCCGCTGCCCCTGCCACTGCCACTCGTGATTCGGCGCGACTCAATGCCTCTTGCGTGTGCTGAGTTGGACGGGCGACTTGGCGCGGCGTGGGATGCAGTGCATCGTAGCTGTGGCGGAGCTGGAGGCAGGCATGGTCGATGGAGGTGTGCTGGAGGCAGGCATGGTAGATTGATGTGACGATGTGGTTGTCGGCGTGCGGCACATCGGACCAGCATTGTCGATTGCGTCGACACGGGCTAATGCGATGCGATCATTCGCACTCGTTGCGGGAGAAGGTGCGAGACAGACGAAAGGGCGGCTCCTGATGGGATGGGTGGAGGTAGTGTAGAGTACAGACGGCTGAAGGAAGGCATGGAAGCATGGAAGCGGAGTGGTCACAAACTTTTCGTGGCAAGGAGCAGAAGCTAGAATACTCGCGTGCAGAGCCAATCGGCGCGCGCGCGCTCACACGCGGCAGCTGACGATGATCTTTGTCAAAGAGGAAGGTGGGAGTCGGTCGGCATCGGCATCAGCAGCTGCATGCAGTCGATGCGATACGGTAGCAAAAAGGCAAGCAACCTCCACACTGGCCTCGCCCTCGCCCTCGCCCTCGGCATCGCCCTCGCCCTCGCCCTCGCCCTCGCCCTCGCCATGTTCACCGTCATCTTACGCGCTGCTCATGCGCATGCTGCATACATGCACCAGAATGAACCAAAGCCATCTGCCTGGCGCTATGGCTATGCCGGTAGAAGATGCGGTCGCTGGAGCACATGAGCCCGATGCGCTCTCAGAAGACGAATACCATGGTTATGGAGCACATGGGGACCGCTCGTACGTGGCCGAGGCGCTCCAAAGCGTCGCTGAAGAAGAGCTCATGTCGACGCTTCACCACCATCTCCGGCCACCATACATTGTCGACGAGTCGAGCCATCCTTCCAGCCAAGAGAGCATCGACGCTTTCATTCGCAACAAGCCTGAGCTCCGCATATTCTACCACGAGAAGTGGCACGTCGACGTTGACTCGGTCGAATATCTTGCTTCTGTCATGCGTGCCACCAAAGCTGCGCCCACCGAAGAGCAACGGTACGGCATTGGCATCGGCATCGACACGTCCTTCAAAGCTCTCAAGCTCGAAGAGCCTCTCCTACACACACACCCGCCCAGTGACATGGCCCACATTCGGAGGCGTAACGCTGTCGAGCTGCACACGGAAGACATCGCACCTTTCAAGATTGACGATGAACAGGACGAGGGCATTGCATGGCGTGCATCCAACCTCAATCTGCCGGCGCTCGTGAATGACGAGCTGAGAAATGAGAAATGGCCCATCGATCACGACACAGTGGGCTTCATAAAGCATGTCTTTTCAACATTGGACTCTCATCTCCAACCCTGGTTGGCAGAAGATCGCAAGCGGCGCGTGCGTGCCACAAAACCGCTCCTTCCAAGTAAATACTGACTTCTGACAGCTTCTTCCCAAGCTTTCTTCGCCCTTGCTGCCTCTATCGCCACCTCTCAGTCCGGAGAGGTTACCTTCGCCAATAGCAGAAGTGGAGCTCACTTCCACCCCAGAAGACCCTTCCGTTGCTGAGGCTGCCATTCTTGATGCACGACTTGCTGAGCGTGATATGCTGGACGCCGAGAGCACTACGGCTATGGACTTGACCGATCTGAAAGGCTTCTTAGATGCGACGACCACAGGGTCCTCATCGCCGCTTCAGCGAAAGGCTAAGCGGTTACAAGACCTCAAGCTGTCAGACCCTCTTCTCCCCGACACTTCATCGGAACCTCCGACCAAGAAAACGAAGACTGTCTCATTCACAGAAGAGTTGCATACGCTGATACCTCGCTTGCCATCGGACGAATCAGTAGGAGAGCCGTCTACAGACGAGGCAATGGCGATAATGACCGACGTACTTGCGCCTTTCGCCAAGACCGGCATCGATCGGCTGCGGAAGGAGCAGCTTACTGAAGTAGACACGACGCTGCGAGTGCCTGTGCCAAAGATCGAGGACGTAAGCCTCACCGCACCGTGGGAGATTTACGCCCAACGACAGCAGGATCTGATGGTCGATGTATTCAACAAGATCATCAAGACGAACGGCAAGTGGAGTGGGGTATCAAAGCTGGAGAAGACGCTGCCTTGGAGTCCCTTTCCGTCGTATCTGGCCAAACTTAAACCAGAAGGAGACTTTGATGATGGCTCGTGCGTGAGGTACCTCGCAGATATCAACTTTGATGGAGAAGTTGACTTCGCAAATCTGACGTGGAAGCTTGAAGGTCTGCGCGTGCTTGAGGAGGATGACGACGATCAGGATGAAGAACTGGAGGCTTGTCACTTTTCAGGCGATGAGATGATAGATACAGATGCGCACCAGATTTCTGGCCAGGTTGTGCAAAGCCGTGCAACTCAAAACAGGAATACTCTGCATCCTGGTCGGGGAGCATTACGGACACAACTCAGGCTGGACGATGCAGCGACAGGGGGCGGCGTCTCCCAAGTGTCGAGCTTCTCTCAGCTGAACCCAGAGAGTCAGCGAGCTGACAATGGCGCATCGTGCAAGCCCTCAGAAGCTCGACATGTGCTGCCAAGCATGGAGGAGCTCATCAAACGCAGAGCGGCTCAGCTGGAGAGTGGCAAGCAGAAGCACGAACAACTTGTCGCAATAGCAGAAAAGGCGGCAAAAGAGGACGGGAAGGACACAGGGTCTGTGCCGCAGCAGCCAAAAAGGTTGATTCGACAGCATCAAGGCCTCGACCAATTCATGGCACTGCAGAATCAGCAAGCCATTGACAATTCGGCACCATTCAGCGAATCTGTCGTCGAGAGCATCAACGCACCAGAAGTATTCAAGGACCCACAGCTCCCAGCACCAGCACTACCAACAGAAACTCTGCAACAGCCAGAGTCCGCCTTCCCAACCCCAGTCATCAGCCAAAAACAAATGTCAGCAACAATAATAACCTCCCCGTCCTTCGACCGCCGCCTCGCAGCAAAACTTATATCCTACTGCCCAAACCTCCAAGAAATCACTCGCCCACCAATTTCCAACCAGACAGAAACAGAAGCCCACCTAACCCTCTCACCCTCAACCGGCCTCCACATCACAAACCTCCAAAAGATCGCGCAAAAACCCCTCCCAGGCCGCGAACACGAATTCCAGCCTTTCCTATCCCGAATCCAGAACATCTCCCTGCGGTACTCAACCTTGATTGTCCTGGTGAATGGACCAATCCATAGCATCGCGGCGCTCAATACCTTGACTTCTCAAACGACAACAAGCAGCATACCGAATTGCGAGATTCGCACCATCTACATCCCGTCAGAGCACGAGATAGATCTGGTCAGGTGGATCGCGGCTTGCATCGAAGGACATTGCTCTGCAGAGGCAAAGATACTGGGGGAAGAAACGTACTGGGAAAGATTCTTGCGCACGGCAGGATTCAATGCTTTCGCTGCACAGGCCATCCTAGACGCATTGAAACCAGGCGACCTGGCGTCATTCGTGCTGATGAGTGAGGAAGAGAGAGTGCGTCGTTTTGGTGCTCTGCTTGGCGGCGAGACTGTACTGCGCAGAGCCAGTCAGGCGATAGATGCGAGATGGGAGTCAATCGCAAGTGCTTGATGCATCCGTCGCCGCTCGCCATCGAATCATGAAATCTTGGAACAATGTACTAGCTTTGCTGGATGATCGAATGATCGATCTCAACTCATGCTTTCATATCAAAAGACGTATCTGAGTGTGCTTACGAACGTGCCCATTATAGGGTCTTTCTCTGCCTCTCTAACCACTTACACCTCCAATCATGTATTTCTTCCCAACGATGCTCAAGCACCAACGACCGACACGCAAGCACCTTCCTTCTGGTATCATCGCTTCAGGCTGGCCCAAAGCTCTAGCCTGCAAATGCTATTCTCCGAAAGACTGTACGCCAAAGGGGGTATCATGTACACTGGTCCGGTTCTGGAGTCCCAGCTGTGAAAGCAGTGCTCACATTTAGTAGTAGATCTTCTCTTCATAAATTGGAGGGCGGCCTTCATCGGCGTCCCAGCACACATTGTTCTTGTCATCAAGGTAAGCACCCTCGTCTGTGATGGGGATGACCTTGCCGGTGTCTGCCACTTCCTGTCGTGAAATGCCGACTGGGTCGCGTGGGATCCAGAGAAGGGGTGCCGGGCTGCCGATTGCTGGGTTGTAGAAAGCGTGATCCTCGGTCTCCTCTGTATAGTTGATGGCAATGTCCTTTGGTACAAGTCGGCGCATGGTCTCGTAGTCGGCGTAAAGGTCCGGGCGCAGCCACTTGGTGAAGAAGTTTGGCTTCTTCTGCGGAGCTGCGCCGAGCTCGTGGTTGGCGCCAGTGCTGTGAACGTGTGCCCCTTCCTTACCGGCACCGTCGGCGTACTGATCGCCCTCTGCAACGTTGCCATTCTCGATCTGAAGAAGGCGTCGCTCCTCGGCGTCGAGAGATTTTGGCAGGTAGTTGAGCAGTGGGTCCATGGCGCTGTTTAAGCTGATGTGGTAGAGCGCGGTGAAGATGAGGAAGACGATCATCAAAATCAGCGGTCCCAAAGCGCCAATGCTGGAGCCGGTGGCGATGGCGAACAGGCCGATGAGGCAGACCTCGGCTACGTACAAGCCGACGAAGAGGTGCTTCAGCGCACGTGGGTAGACCAGACCCTTGGTGTCAATGGACGCGTTGGACACGAAGAGGAGGTTGTATCGGTAGGCGAAGTAGAAGAGGGACAATCCTATTGCCGCAAATCCCATGACGAGTGGAGCGATGGCAGCATAACAGAATGCAATGACGAGCAAGTTGGTGTAGACGGGGAAGAGAGTGCCCCAGCCGAGGCCGCTCAGCTTGATCCAGCGTGAGTACATCTTGCGTGGTGTCTTGTCCAGGATCTTTCCAAGGACCATGAAGAGAACGAGGCCAACGAGACCGACCAAGAGACCAGAGACAATTCCGAGGCCCTGAAGGACAAAGTAGGAAAGATAGAATGTGCTTGCCTTTGGCAATTGCGTGGCCAAAAGGGTGGTGACGCTGGATGGGTCGTCAACCACACTCTGGACCACAGAAGATGCAGCGGATCCCAGAGTTGCCACGAGGAAGACCTGGACGATCTGGAAGGCGAAGTAGCTGTTCTGGCAGTGAAGCTCCACGGCACTAAGTGTTGGAGCGCCTGCAAGCTTGGCCATCTTGCGGAGAATAATGGGAAGGAGTGACATGAGTACGGCCAGCAGAATGACGGGAAGCAGACCGGTCACGACACCACGGACGGCAGATGGGATGTCGTCAATGAAGCTCAGCCATGGCAGTGAGCAGGTCAGGTAGGTAATGTTGCTGATGGCACCGACGACGGCGACAGGGATGGACCAGAAGAGGACCAAGGCGACAATGAAGGTTGTCGTTGCGATCTGGCGGACAACTCTCTCCCACCACTTGATGCGCAGGTTGGACCAGACGACTTCTTCAGGGCTCATGCCGACGAATCGCGGTGACATCTGGAGGACGTGGTGATGAGTGAGGCTCTGGTATGCAGCTTGGGCGGCACTGAGGGTATCGAATTCGACAAAGGCGGAGTTGAGCAGCGTGGCTTGGTTGGCCTTGTGCTTGGCTTGAGCCGCGTCGACCTTGGGGATGAGGCTCTTAAGCTCGCTGCGGCACCAGTCGATGGTGTCGACCTTCTTGCCGATCAAAAACTTGAGCTTGTGTGTGGGGCGCTCTTTCTCCTGGAGGTAGCGAGCGGCAACAGCGCCTTCCTCGCCGATTGCAGCCTCCTCGGAGTTCTGGCGCCCAGTCTCCTTCTCAGCCTTGAGTCTGTTGGCATTTGCAGTCTTGATCAGCTTGGTCTCAGCGGCTTCAAGCTTCATGGCGGTCTTATCGCGCTCTTCAACAAGCTCTTCCAGCTCTTTGCAATCGGTAGACAGCCAGATCTTGCGGACGCCTGGCTCGAGCATGCTTCGAAGCTTCTGCTCGCTCATGTAGTCCTCCGGAATGCTCGTGTACAGGACTGTACGCGAGGAGATACGGCTCGCATAGAATGGCGACATGAGGTATGCCTGGCGCAGGTTGATGAAGTAAATGAGCTCGCGCGTGATCATGTAGATGACGAAGCTGAAGAAGAGGATGGCACAGCCTGCGTGAGCGAAGTAGCGGAAGTAGTAGCTGTTCGGTGAGCTGCCGTCTGGGGCCACGAGGTTGGCCATTGTGAGGATATCGAGTTGCTTTTGGCCACCTTGGCCCGTGATGTTGACTGGGAACAGCACTGGCCATGTTATCAAACAGCCGACGAGACAGCAGACGCAGGAGATCTTGAGGAATCGCAAGAAGAGGTAAGCGTCGAGAGTGTGGTGGTTCAAGACGTAGGTGTCGGGGAGACGGCAGAACTCGGCAAACCAGTTGAAGAGGCCATCTTTGGGTCGGGGGGTCCGCTGTTCTTCTCGCAATGAGCCGACGAAGGTGCGAGGTCTGTAATATCTGGGGAATCTATTGCGCAAAACGAGGAAAAGAAAGGCCCAGATCAAGGCATAGAGGGCGACTGGGGCAATAACCGAGACGACTGAAGTGGCCGAGTTGGAGTCGTTGGTGCTGGAGGACTGCGAAGAGCCGATATTCGCGTCTCCGCTTTGGCTCTGTCACCGAGGTCAGCACAAAGGTGTGGTGGTGGATTGAGTTTGGGCGAGGCTCACGATGCCGCCGCAAGAGTTACCCATGTCGACGTGACGTGAGAGAGACGCCTGCCGCGGGAGCAGCAGGCTTGTTATGGGACGCACACGCTCGTCTGGATGAATAATGACAGAAAATTAATGCTCTGTGTTGGCGGGACAGAAGGCAATGTGGTCGGTGAAGAGGTGAGGTCAGGTCAGGTCGAAGAAGAGCGCAGGCAGAGGTCGATACGATCTCCTGGACCGAGATGGCGGTTGCGACTGCGACTGCGACTGCGATTGCGCAAAAAGCCAATGCAGCCAATGCAATCTAAACACGGGAGGCGCGCCACGGCCAGGGGGGCAACGACAGCGGCCTTTCCTTCCTTGGCTGTGGCGATCGACGCTGCACCGTGATGTCGATGGTTGTTGTGCCTGCCTCTGCTCTGCTCTGCTCTGCTCTGCTCTGCTCTGTGGTCGTGAGTGGAGTGGCGAGAAATGCATGTGCCTTCTACGACAGACCGCCTCGATGTATAGAACTATCATACCATCGCGTTAGCTATCGATTCCATGCTTTGGCGTTTCACAGGGTGATGCCTGCACAGACGCCTCCGTCCGAAAAGAGAGTGCACATGATGCGACATGTGACATTGACAGCCTTCTAGCCACCCACCACCGCCACGGCATCTTGAATCCTTCGAAAACCGGTTTCCTGGTTGCAAACCACGTCGAGTTTCACATGATTCGAAAGTCGTGGGTCGGCGGCTCGCATGCGCGCACTCAACACTCTCAACTCGCGACGTCCAAATACCTACCTACAGCAGTATACAGCTGGTGCTCTCCGAGATGTGACGACTGCCTTGATGATGCCGTGCCAGCGAAATTTCTGATTGCTTTCCGGAGAAACATCGTGGCTTTCGCACAGCGAACCCTCTCCAAACCTTCGGCCCTCAGCCATCTCACAATCCTGGGCTACTACTGGGGCTGATGAACACGAAGGCCCGCTCTCGAACCTCACATCTTCTTGACTTCAGCTGCTCCAGCATCTACAAATCAACCGAGTGATCCCCTGTGGTAGCTGAGCGGACAAATTCATCTTTTGCCGCAAAAAGTCACATAGGTTAGTAGGTCGCATAATTTACCTTACACGCCTCTAAGTGATAAAGTGACACCTAAGGCCCTATATACTTCTGTAGATTGTAGGTTGTAGATCTATAATATAACAACTTAATAAAAGTTAGGGCCCCTTTAGGCTTAGTGCGGCTTAAAACGGGCTAACCGTAGCCTCTAATTAGTAGACGTAAGGAACGTTAATACCTTAGCGATCCGGAAGGGCGTAGACGTCGTAGTATATACCGCGACGAGCTATAACTTCGATAGTAGTCTCGAAAAGGGCGTCTTCGTCGTATATATCTTATTCGGTAGTATTTACTCGAAGCGGTATACTCGATCGCGCTAGTAGCCTTATAGGAAGCGTAATTTAGTATATATAACCGGTACCGAGGCCCTACTATCGCGAGCTCCGCTATCGGGATCTTATAAATACGATACTATCGACTCTCTTAGTCGCTATCGTAGCTCTATCGACCTTTACGGCCTTTAAGAAGCTATACGAAATTATAGTATCCTTCGCTCGCGAGTCCTAAGGAAGGCGCGCGTCGCGTATACGACTACAGCAGCTACGTATAACGCGCCTACGTCCGGAGACATAACGACTTTAGCAGGTATACGGTTATTAATTACTACTATAATAATCTAATATCGCGATCGACTATTATAAACTCTACTAAAACCGACCTCGATCTAACTTCTCTAGCTACCGGATACTTATTCGCGTCGTACTAGTATAGATCTAACGAGGGCCCGCTACTAACTACCTATCGTAGTCTCTCGAGGCCTACCGTAATACTCGCGAAGATATATACTTAAGATTATAGTCTTAAAGGGTCCGAGGTATAGAAAGCTATAGTAAGTAGTACGGTAGCGGTCGTACTTCGATATAGCGGCTAACAATTCTAGTACGAGGAGGTTTACGGTACTCGGTAGGAATTACCGTAAGAGTCGGTAGTTTTCTTTACGAAGATATAGCAAGACTCGCTACTACTTAGCCCGCTATAGAGGATTCTCGATCTACGGCGGTTCGGCTTATTTCCTTCGTTTAGTATCGTCCCTCGGAAGCTAGACCTTAGGTAGATATTCGAATTATAGCTAGTAGAAGGATCGACTATCGCGAAGCCTCTTAAGGTATTTTATATCGCTACTAGCCTTTTCTATAACGACGTCGCCGATAAGGCAGCTATAAAGGTCCTCGAGATCTAGTATTAATTCGATACGATATCTAGCTATAGTATTAGCGTCGCCTTACTCTTAGAGAGTGCTACTCGCGATTAGAAACGGACGGTATAGCTCCCGGCCCTATTTAGCGACAAGTACGCTAAGATAACCTACTTCTTAGACTATTTCCGGCTCCTTTATAATAGTATAGGCTTCGACTAGGTAGCGACGCGGAGTTGTCTCTTAACTATATACGGCGCTCCTATCTAGCGAAAGCCTTTATTATTATTATTCGGTCTCGCCCTACTAGAGGAGTATCGTAGCGAGTCGAGCGTTATAATAAACTAAGGCGCGAGCAATTATAGTACCGAGCGTAAGGGAGAATATAGTATTTAGAGAGGTTGCGGAAGGAAATCTACGATAATCTTAGTACATTTGTTATAATTTTTAGCGTACTATCTACTTAACGGACATCTTTTTATATCCCTCGATATAATATAAATTTATAGCTCTAGAAGATATATCTTACCGGATTATACCGCTAGAGGTAGACAATGCGCTTCTTCGCCTTAACTCGAGTCCTTAACGACTTCGTTCGTATTAATATCTCCCTAGCGACGATGCCGATATTATAGTAGTAGGATCTAAGCTAGAGTAGTAAGCGTAAGGTCGAGTGTTCGTCGTTGCGTCGTAAGAGGCTATTATTATTATCGTAGGTCGCTTTATATCGTCGCTTTATATCGTCGCTTTATATCTATTAGCTAGTATAGGCTTAGCGCGCGGCGACGGTTACGTATACAAATAGTAATATTGTAGCGTTGCGCGTCGTCTAAATATTACTACTATAATAACTAATATAGCGACTACTTCTACGTAGCTATATCTACCTTCTTCTAGTTATCGATATTACTAGTAGCGACCTCGATAAAGGCGCCCCTCCTATACGGTCTTAGCTACTATAGCCCTCCCTAATAGTAAGTCTCTAGCGTATCGGTCGCCGTACGCTACTTTCGCTAATATCGAGCTATAGAGATAGACGTTCTACGTAGTATACCGTAGCGAGCCTTTTAATATTAGGAATTAAATCGCGCTATAGCCGAGATTAAGCACCCCTACGCTTCTATACGACTTCGCTAATAGCTCGCTATAGGCCGGGCCCCGGTATATTAAGAAGCGCTATAAGATATATATAAGCTAGTTACTAAGGAGGTATTACGCCGCGTGCGCGAGAACCGCAATATAGATAAGAATAACGGCTTCTCTCCTAAACCTCCGTACTATAGCGTTATAGATTACCGGCTGTCTAGGTATATATCGAGATTAGTGTCTCTAGTTATAAATAAGATCTACTAGCGGACGGAGTCTTAGGACGAAGAATACGTAGTACGTATTCTCGTATATCGTCTAGTATATAGTAGTAGAAAGCTAACTCCTATAGATCTCTATACCTAAGTAGTCGTAGGACAAGTACCTAGATAGTAACCTTAACGTTATTACTACTTAGGCGTAACGGGAAGAGTAAATAGAAGGGTCTATCGTCTACGTTAATCTAGATACGAATACTAATAGGCTCGACGAACTCGACGAGTTCGAGCCGAGACTATATCTCTAAAAGTCTAACTCGCTATTTCCTCGGCATTGTCGCTAGGTATATCCGTCGCGTACCCTAAGAATATAGCGCTTTTACTAACCGGTTCTAGATCGAATTCGCGTAGATAAAGCTTACTACTATATAGCCGTTCGGTATAGATCGCTTCGTTATCGTTCCTTTACGCATATATCCTACTATAACGAGCCGAACGGATAGCACCTTCGTATAGAGGGTCCTAGTTAGGTACGACCTACGGTTGTTAGAGGAAATCTGTCTTCCTAGCGCTATCGATACTTTGCTATAATATAACTAACCGTTCGACTTCCTATAAAACGATAGCTATATTAAATACTATAACTTCTTCGACGTAGAGATAGGAAGGGACTTTAATATAAAAAGGAGGCTATAGTTAGTATAGAATGCTACTAATTTCGGTTATACTTAAATCGATACGGACGACGCGATAGTAATCCTCGATATAGGGCGTAGGAATAGAGAGTTTTATCGTCTAGAGATATATATAGGAACGGGAGAGTAGTACGTTTCCTTAGGACTACTATAAGTACGGTACTCGCGCCCTAGAGACAGACGCTATCGTAACTTAGTAGGGAGGCGGAGGAGCCTAAGTACGGTATCGTAGGTAGAGCAATCTATCTCCTTTAGTCTATAAACTTTCTATACTTGTTATCGTCTCTAGGCTATAATTTGCCCTTACGCGACGTCTTCGATAGCGTAGCGGCGCGTAGAGTGCATTTAAAGCTGCATCTCGTTCTTACTACGCGTAAAGATAATACGCTCTCTAAATAGGCGGCGGTACCGGACAAGTTAGAGGCCCTAGATAGACCGATACGTTTAGTTTTAGTCTCTATCTCGTCTTAGTATAGACGAGAAAGCACGTACCTTAGAAGGCTAGGGGGTTTTTTTTTATATATATAAAGTTCTAGTATCCCTAAAACACGCGGGCGCTCCCGCTTAGCGCGGCAGTTCCCGGACACGGGGAAAATTACATATAGGAACTCCCGAATTCGCGGCTATAGCCGGCCGCCTTACGCGAGCGTAAAAGGATAGCTAATAGAGGATTCGAACCTCTAATACTAAAAGTTATACCCTCGCTAGTCGCTACCCTGTGTTTCTATAAGGACTATAAGCGAATAACTCTTACTATCTAGAACCGATCTAATTAGCTAGAGGGTTATAGAATATAGATAATTATATAAATCGAAAAAAAAAGTTATAGCTAATAAGGGAATTAAACCCCCTATCTAGACGATCTAGTAGATCGTAGATCGCCTTATACTAATTTTACCGTACCCTTAAAGGTACGGTCGGCTAATATATTTAAGCGAATATAGTTCGGCATCTCGCTAACTAGGGCTAGCTTTAAATAACTAGCGAGGGTATAACCTTTAGGACTACCTAATTAGCTAGAGGTCTCTATTTACGTAGCGGCTATAAGCGTCCCCGCTCGCTTAGCTCCGGTTACGTATTAGAAAGCCGCTCCTATCCGACCTCGCCTTTCTTCGCTATAGGAGTATATATAGTATCGGTAGAGAGTAAATAGAGGATTAGCGGAGACGACGCGAGGAGCGGGCGAGGTTTAGGAAAGGGACTCCCTTTTCGCCGTTAGGATAGCGTAGATCGATACGTCTTACTAGTATTTCGCGACGCCGAAAGCGTAGGTAGTAAATAAACGACTAGCGGAGACGACGTAAGAAGTAGGCGAGGTTTAGAAGAGAGACTCCCTTTTCGCTATTAGGATAGCGTAGATCGATACGTCTTACTAGCATTTCGCGACGCCGAAAGAGTAGGGAGTAAATAGAGGATTAGCGGCGTACGTAGTTAGTACAATTTTCGCGGCGGTAGCGAGTATAGGAAAGGAGAGTAAAATATATAGTTAGATACGGGCGACGGTAAGAGTAGGACTATTTTTATTTTATTTCTACCGATTTAGGTACTACTAGAATCGCGATATCTTTAGATATAGCCGTTAATTACCCCTAAACTCTAGCTCGTTAATAGCCTTTAGGTATACGTCGCTAACTCCCTACTTCTATAATATCTTAGGTTACTAGTCCGTATATCTAAAGCTAGCCTTATTCTACGCCTTCTTTAATATCTAGGGC